AAGACACTTAACCTCTGGGAACAGCAGGTGCCACAGTGGGGCGGCTGCGGCTGTAAAGTGCCAAACTGTGGTTGTGTCCTTAGGCAAGACACTTCCCCCACATTAGAATGAGTCTGGTGTGTGTGTGAATGGTTGGTGGTGGTGGGAGGGGCCGATGGCACAGACTGGTTACCTCGCTCATGTCAGTGTGTCCCAGGGCAGCTGTGGCTACAGTAGTAGTTTATCACCAACGTGTTTGGAGAGAAAGAATAATGACACATGTAAAGCGTCGTTGAGTGTCTAGAAAAGCGCTATATAAAACTGATGCATTATTTTTATTCCCACTTTTCTAGTAATTTGTCCCCCACTGTGGGACAAATTCAGCCGCTTTTAACTTATAAAAGGGAATTCTTACCACTGAATTATACCTCTTTCTCATTGGCAGTCTCACTCTCCTCCTCCAACATAACTGCTGCCAATAAATCTGTTAAAAATTAGAATAACATTTAGGTCTAAAACTTAAAAAATATATATCCTCAGCTTGCGTTCCAAAAGGAAATTCTAACATTTACATAGTTAAGTCATGTCCTCTAAGCACAATATCATTAGCATGACCATGTGAGCTATAACTGAAGATCCTGGCCCGAACCAGTCAGAGCCAGACTAGTTAGGGCCGTGCCTCATGCCACTCGGAACCGGATCTACTCCCGTGAGACCCCAGCAGTGCACACAGACACGGACGCGATTCTGCTAACTACTCCGCAGATAATCACACTCCCAGCAGTGCGCACAGACACTGACAGACACGGTCGTGGTTCTGCTAACTACTCCATGCCCAAGTTTGGGCTTAACAACATGGTCAGGTTCGGGTCGGGTTCAGACCAAATCCTCTCCAGTGCAGGAAAGGCTTAAGTTTGTAGGCCTGATAACAATATCAGTATCACCAGGGTTAGCTAAGTTAGCTCCCATTAGCTTAGCTACGCAGCAGGGATTGCTAACACGTGTTGCCCTGAGAGTAAGCATACATCACAAATTACTAACCATTTAAAAAATATTCACTTCTATCGAACATTATTGAACAGTTTACCATCGATATATCGAATTGTGTTAAATGTAGACTCACCAAAGATGTCCGAGCACGTGATGTATCCCTTCCCTGGGTCAGGTGCAGAGCAGACTGACGGACTGACGCTAGCATGCGCTTAGGCCACGCCCACCTATAGACGCGTACCTTTGTATCATACGCTGAAAATAATACATTATTATACGCACACTTATTATTATGTATATCATTTTGTATAAAAATACTGATATTAGTGTGTGGTAATTGTTTTTTGAATCAACTGACTGCACACATAATAATATAAAATGTATAAACGTGCATAAATGTCAACAAATCTTATATATTGGAGAAACAACATTTCAAGTGGAATAAGATGAGCTTTACTGAAGAGCGCCAATTGTATTTGCGGGTGATTACATAGAATATAATGTGTTGGTTGGAATGGGGTAACAAACTGATTTTGAACACATCTGTGTCACTGTGTCAGGATCCAAAGCATTTAAGAAAAAATAAGAAAAATGCGTAAAGCATGGTGTTAAGGCCATATTTTAGTTTGTATTAAAAATGTCTAAAAAGTCTAAAATTAGTTCTGAAATTTAAAATCATTATTTAAAAACATCCTGAAATATATATTTGTTACTCATAATGTTAAATATAGAAATCTTAATATTCCTTGTTTAGAGCTAGAGAGGGCGGGACAGATGGGACAGAGTAGTCATAGATGGGACAGGTGTAGGGGAATCGGCATAATGAGGGTGACCGACATGGTTTTTGACCACAACGCACCGCAACGCTACGCAGCACAGACTATTTGATTTTTGACAAATAAAACTCTGGAAATAGATCTACGGCTATGTGTTGTGTTTGATGCTGTGAGTCAGAAAGCACACACCCAAAGGATGGCTTAGAAGCCCACACGTATGGTTTTTTTATGGTCTGGCCTCCATTTTGTTATCTTCAGAGCGCTGTAGCCCCGTACATTATGGGGACGTGGAAAACCAGATGTGTGTGTCATGAAGAAGTCTAGCCTCCATTTTGTTATCTTCAGAGCGCTGTAGCCCTGGACATTATGGGGACGTAGAAAATCAGATGTGTGTGTCATGATTAAGTGTGACCTCCATTTTGTTATCTTCAGAGCGCTGTAGCCCTGGACATTATGGGGACGTAGAAAACCAGTTGTGTGTGTCATGAAGAAGTCTAGCCTCCATTTTGTTATCTTCAGAGCGCTGTAGCCCCGTACATTATGGGGACGTAGAAAACCAGATGTGTGTGTCATGAAGAAGTCTAGCCTCCATTTTGTTATCTTCAGAGCGCTGTAGCCCTGGACATTATGGGGACGTAGAAAATCAGATGTGTGTGTCATGATCAGTGTTGGGCACGTTACTTTGAAAAAGTATTTAGTTATAGTTACTAGTTACTTCTCCCAAAAAGTAACTGAGTTACTAACGGAGTTACTCCACTATAAAAGTAACTAGTTACCAGTAAAAGTAACTATTGCGTTACTTTTTCGTTTTGTTCTGGAACATAATGTGCACTCGACGTGCGCATTTTTACCTTTAACCTCAGTGAGTTTAAATATTGCCAATATTTCCATCTAGAAAAGACTGTTTTGCTGCTGAAGTCCTGTTCAGTCTCCATCTCTCTCTGTGCTGTAAGCACTAAACACCAACACCCGCCACTGTGAATGTGGAAACACCGGTGAAGCACTGACTTTAGCCCAATCAGATGAACATATATATCATATAAATCAACTTGACCTAGAGAGCGGCTTATTCACAATTTGTTTGGCTACAGCAGAATATGTTTCATGCATTGTTTGTTCAAACAAAACGCAAAACTATGAGTTATGGGTCTTACCTTATAAATGACCTGCACAGCCCACTTCGGTTCGACCAGTTCCGTGTTTAATAATAGTTTGAGCGTAGATATGTAATCCTCCATTTGGAAATGAGTCCAATGAGTTTTAAAAAGTAAAACAAAACACGTATCTCCTCCATAAACTCCTGTTTTGCTAGCTGCAGCCGGGTGTATCCAATTTCTAAATTCAACCGTCTTACATTTCACCTTTTCTTTCTTATCATTCCTATAGTCATTGGAAAATTACCCTAAGTACATTTTAAATTATCTATCTATTATATAAAATGTGTTATATGTATGTTAGCCAAACCTGTTGCAGCCCATAGCAGATAAACCAGGAGGAGAAAGGAGCTTATCGATGGAATTGTATGCAGCCTTCTGCGCTCACATGCGCTCCTCTGAGGCCTCACGGTGATACAAGCCGTGGTTGAGCGCGATTAAGACCCATATTTGTTTCAAAAACACAATTTATGACCATCCTCTCAACTGTAGACATGTAGATTGTAAAGGAAATATGTTTTACATCAGCCAATAATTGCTGAGAGGTTTTCTCATCCTCCCTTCTCTCATGACAACACGCGCACGAGTCCTATCACGAAGTAAAAAAATAATTTCATTTTGCGACTTGAGTAACGCGCAGTAACGGGGTGTCGGCAATGATAACGGCGTTATAGTTAAGTAATTAGTTAGATTACTCGTTACTGAAAAAAGTAACGGCGTTAGTCGTTATTTCCATCACTGGTCATGATGAAGTGTGCCCTCCATTTTGTTATCTTCAGAGCGCTGTAGCCCTGGACATTATGGGGACGTAGAAAACCAGATGTGTGTGTCATGAAGAAGTCTAGCCTCCATTTTGTTATCTTCAGAGCGCTGTAGCCCTGGACATTATGGGGACGTAGAAAACCAGATGTGTGTGTCATGAAGAAGTCTAGCCTCCATTTTGTTATCTTCAGAGCGCTGTAGCCCTGGACATTATGGGGACGTAGAAAACCAGATGTGTGTGTCATGAAGAAGTCTAGCCTCCATTTTGTTATCTTCAGAGAGCTGTAGCCCCGTACATTATGGGGACGTAGAAAACCAGATGTGTGAATCATATGGGAGAATATTTTTGATAAAAAATAAAAACAAATAACACAAACAAACACAGTTCCAGTGTTGAAATCAAAAGAAAAAAAACTGCACTAAAGAAAAGACAATTTGTGACTTAAAAGGTGAACCACACTGCGATAGAGAGAGTGGCTTCACATTAAATTAAGGTGAAGCCACTCTTTTTTGTGAGTCAGGCAAGCACAGTGGCTCAGAGTTTGTTTCATTTGCCTGTTGCAACCAGTGTGGGCGGGCCCCGGCTCAAAAGTGTCCAAAAGGACATGCGCTGACATGCTGCAATACCACCCCGGGCCTGTGGGGGTGGACCCGGAATAAGAATTAGCCAATGCTAACATATAGCATCTTCTTACTTCTGGAAAACGTCTTTACAGGATGGTCCAAAAGTGGCTCATGGCCCAAAGCTCCGTTCCACATGTGTGTCAATGCTGAGTGTTCTGGACCAGTCTAGTTTAGTCGCGGTGGACTTTAGAAGTCTCTCCTTTAAATGAATGGAGCTCTCGCCGGCTGACACATGCGCAGATGAGTTTTTTCACAATTTTCTTGTGGGCGGGACCACTCGCGGCCATTTTGGATAGCTCCAACGGCGGAGATGGGCATGACTACGTCCGTTAAAATATACAGTCTATGATTGCAACAGCTGGACCATGCCCTCTGGCCCTCGCTTCACTTACAACAAGATTAGTACGACATGACCAATCAGAAGACCCAACAGCTTTGTCTGACTGTTCCCCACTGACCAATCAGAAGACCCAACAGCTTTGTCTGACTGTTCCCCACTGACTGACCCCATCGTTCCCATAACCCAGAATCCCAACCACAGCCTGTAGGAACAGGCTGTATCCCTGGATATCGGCTGTTCCAAATGTCAATGGTACTTTCTTTAGTACCATGTACCCTCGCTGTAGACAGCTCCAATGCAAAATGCCCACAACAGTAAAACAGAGGACCAGAGGAGAGCAGAGGATCGAGAAAGGGCAGATGACCATGGGAGAGCATGGGACCAGAGGAGAGCATGGGACCAGAGGAGAGCATGGGACCCGAGGACAGCATGGGACCAGGGGAGAGCATGGGACCAGAGGAGAGCAGAGGACCAGGGGAGAGCGTGGGACCATGGAAGAGCATGGGACGAGAGGAGAGCAGAAGATCGAGAGAGAGCAGAGGACCAGGGAAGAGCATGGGACCAGAAGAGAGAAGAGGACAATGGGAAAGAATGGGACCATGGGAGAGCATGGGACCAGAGGAGAGCAGAGGACAATGGGAAAGAATGGGACCAGAGGAGAGCGGAGGACCAGGGGACTGGACACGACAGAAGGACTGAGTGACCCCTGGACACTCCCAGACCATGTGGAAAAAAGTGCCAGTAACTCCAGCATGACACAAAGTGCATGTCAGATCTGCACACATGTAGATCTGGAGGCTCTGATCTCAAACTACGCTCTAAAGAGATTGGTACATCATCCAGGTGCTGTAGGATGTGGTGGAGGGCCAGGTTAATGGCGTCGTCTACAGATCTGTTGGCTCTGTAGGCGAACTGCAGGGGGTCCAGGAGGGGGGAGGTGAAGGACTTGAGATGGAAGAGGACCAGGCGCTCAAATGACTTCATGACGACAGACGTAAGTGCTACAGGTCTGTAGTCATTAAGTCCTGTGATCCTGGGCTTCTTCGGGACGGGGACAATGATGGAGGATTTGAAGAAGGCCGGGACATGGCAGGACTGCAGAGAGGTATTGAAAATGTCAGTGAACACAGGAGTAAGCTCACTGGCACAGTGTCTCAGAGTGGCTGGAGACACATGGTCTGGGCCAGGAGCTTTGCGGGGGTGCAAGTCCTGTTCGTGGACTTCAGCTCTGCCTTCAACACAATCCTGCCATCCCTGCTCCAGGACAAGCTTTCCCAGCTCAACGTGCCCGATTCCACCTGCAGGTGGATCACTGACTTCCTGACGGACAGGAAGCAGCGAGTGCATCTGGGGAAGAATGTCTCTTACTCTCGGATTATAAAAACAGGAGCCCCACAGGGCTGTGTTCTTTCTCCCCTGCTCTTCTCCCTGTACACCAACCACTGCACCTCCAGCCACGACTCCGTGAAGCTGATCAAGTTCGCGGACGACACCACCCTCATTGGACTCATCTCCAACAACGACAAGTCCGCCTACAGGAGGAGGTGGACCGGCTGGTATCCTGGTGTCTCCTACAGGAGGGAGGTGGACCGGCTGGTATCCTGGTGTCTCCTACAGGAGGGAGGTGGACCGGCTGGTATCCTGGTGTCTCCTACAGGAGGAGGTGGACCAGCTGGTGTCCTGGTGTCTCCTACAGGAGGAGGTGGACCGGCTGGTGTCCTGGTGTCTCCTACATGAGGAGGTGGACCGGCTGGTGTCCTGGTGTCTCCTACATGAGGAGGTGGACCGGCTGGTGTCTCCTACAGGAGGAGGTGGACCGGCTGGTGTCCTGGTGTCTCCTACATGAGGAGGTGGACCGGCTGGTGTCCTGGTGTCTCCTACAGGAGGAGGTGGACCGGCTGGTGTCCTGTGTCTCCTACAGGAGGGAGGTGGACCGGCTGGTGTCCTGGTGCAGTGGTAACAACCTGGAGCTGAACGCCCAGAAGACAGTGGAGATGATTGTGGACTTCAGGAAGAGCACTGTCCCCCCGCCCCCACCCTCCGTGATGGACTCCCCCATCACCTCTGTGGAGTCCTTCCGTTTCCTGGGCACCACCATCACCCAGGACCTCAAGTGGGAGCCGACCATCAGCTCCCTCATCAAGAAGGCCCAGCAGAGGATGTACTTCCTGCGGCAGCTCAGGAAAGCCAAGCTGCAGTTCTACACGGCCATCATCGAGTCCATTCTCACCTCCTCCATTCCCTCCTCATCACCTCCTCCATCACCTCCTCCATCATCTCCTCCATCATCTCCTCCGAGTCCATCACCTCCTCATCACCTCCTCATCACCTCCTCCATCATCTCTTCCATCACCTCCTCCATCACCTCCTCATCACCTCCTCCATCATCTCTTCCATCACCTCCTCAACACCTCCTCATAACCTCCCAATAAATTTGATTCCTGAATCTGATTCTTGATTTGATTTTTCCAACACAGAAGACGCTACAGGAGCCTCTGTCTGTGAGTTCAAACTCGCCGTTTGTGACTTTGAACTAAATAATTAGATTTGATTCTGGATTGATGACATAGGTCTCTATGTGACGGGTTGCAATTGGTTGGAAAAGTTTATTCTCAGGTGTGAAAGACTATAACAGCAAAAGCTGCCTACAGTTAGCTTTTGTTTACCTTGAAACTAGCATGATGCACATCACGTGCGGGCTGGGGGTGGTGGGCTCACAGGACACAGGAGCAGACGATCCAACGTGTGTCACTTGATGGCGTTTCATCTCTATGCACGAAATGGGTATAATTGACAAGGTTTGAAGTGTCGTATGGTGTATCACCCAATTTATTATCACACAGTGCATAGGGATGGACTGTGAAGAAAAGCACCAAATATGCACCTTTAATGATGAAACAAAAAACCTGTATATAGTATAGATTTTTTCATATTTCAGGCAATAATGTTACTTTTTTATTTATGTATGGACCCCCCTCGTCCAAACACCCTAGAACCACACCAATCTCATCCTCCTCCATCCTCTCCCTAGGATGCACAGGGTCCGTCTGATCGCAGCCAATGGCAGTCTAGTTAGAGGAGAGACCCGGCTGGGGGCCCTGTCATGAAGCCACCTGTGCCATTCCCTTAGTGATAAACACAAAGAATAATTACAGAAAGACATCTGGAGTTAATCAGTCTAATATGGAAAATCTATTCTTGTTCCGTGTATGAATCAGCCGACACAACGCTGATACTGAAACTTTGAAACTTGCTATGCTAATGTCCAGATCATCTTCTAAATAACAAGTACTTTTTTTAATCAATAATTGTATTTGTTCTTTATAATCTTATCTTATGTTCAATGGCTGAATCCCATGGGCTTGACCAAAAATACAGAAAATGCAGTTTTAATAGCAGTTCACAAACAATTTCAGATATATATTTTCATTAACCATTTTTAAAAGACGCTCATACCCAAACCCAACCTGAGTGGAATCATAAGGATTAGGCCCGGCCAGAACCTGTCTGGTCCCGCCTGAGAATTATGGTAGTCAATCAATGAAATTGATTAAAAGAAATATATTAAGTCCTTCCATAGACTTAAACTGGCTGGTAAGAGGTTTATTAGTTTTATTGATAATTTTACAGAGTTGCTTCCAGTTGTATGCACAGATTTTGATAGTTTAGTTATTACAGGTGATTTTAATATTCATGTGGATAATGTTGATGACAGAAATGCAAAAGAGCTGAGTTCTGTTCTTGAATCTTTTGGTCTCACTCAGCATGTGAGTGGCCCCACCCACAGCAGAGGGCACACTCTAGACCTGTTAGTTACAAAGGGGGTGAACATTTCTAATGTAAACGTGGTCGATGTTGCGCTTTCGGATCATTTTTGTATATTTTTTGACATGTGTTTCACTAACAAACCACCAGTGGACTCTGCAACTGTACGAAGAAGACACATAAATGAAAATACGGGTGAACTATTTATGGGAATGATAAACTTTGAGAATGCATTCTACTATAGATGAACTGTTTAACTCTGTCACCTCTAGTGTTTTGAAAGTTCTGGACACCATCGCTCCTGTGAAGGTTAAAATAGTGAAAAATAAGCAGAAGGCGCCGTGGGCTAAAGCAGACTCGGTCAGGGCACAAAAGAGAGAGTGCCGGAGGGCCGAGCGGAAGTGGCGCAAGTCCAACCTCCAGGTTGATTACAAGATCTTCAAAGATAAGTTGTGCGAGTTTAACCAGGTGCTACGTAGTACGAGAGAAAGGTATTTTTCTGAAATGATTGAAGGCTGCAGCAACAATCTGCGTGTTCTGTTTTCAACAGTTAATAGATTAACAAACCCCCCTGTTCAAATGCCATTAGAGCTAACTTCCAAACGTAAATGTAATGAGTTTGCACATTTTTTCAATGACAAGGTTCAAGGCATCAAAAACGCCATTGTCTCCAATCCACAGATAACCATCCAACAGCCAGAAAGGCTCTTTGAGCTAACTTACTTTGCACCTGTAAATGATCAAACTGTCCAAGAGATAATCTCCAGTTTGAGCTCCTCCACATGCAGCCTGGATGTACTACCCACTAGATTTCTAAAGTCTGTTCTGAGCAGTCTGTTACCTTCACTCACACAGATAGTAAACATGTCCCTTAATTCTGGAATATTCCCAAAGGCCCTGAAAACTGCAGTCATCAGGCCCCTGCTAAAAAAGAGCAGTCTGGATGCTACGGTACTTAACAACTATCGTCCCATCTCAAATCTGCCATTAATGGGGAAAGTCCTTGAAAAAGTTGTCTACCTACAGCTTACTAGATTTCTTATAATCAACAACTCATTTGATATGTTTCAGTCCGGCTTTAGACCCCACCACAGCACTGAGACTGCTCTCGTCAAGGTTACAAATGATATCCGGCTGAACACTGACGCAGGCAAAGTCTCAATCTTAATCTTGTTAGATCTAAGTGCTGCCTTTGACACTGTCGACCATGAGATCCTCTTACAGAGACTAGAGGACTGGGTTGGCGTCGCTGGCACCGCCCTAAGTTGGTTTAGGTCTTACCTTGAAGACAGGAAGTACTTTGTGGAGATTGGAAACTGTGTCTCAGATCATATGGCCCTGACCTGTGGAGTCCCACAGGGGTCGATCCTGGGACCTCTTCTGTTCAATCTCTACATGCTGCCGTTAGGTCAGTTAATACGCAGAAACAAAGTTTCCTATCACAACTATGCAGACGACACTCAGATCTATGTCTCACTGACTGCAGGAGAACATGGACCAGTGGACTCACTCCTTCACTGTATCCAACAGATCAGTGAGTGGATGCAAAACAACTTCCTTCAGCTAAACGCAGACAAAACTGAAATGATTGTCTTTGGTCCCCAGAAACAAAGAGAGAGCGTCATCTGTCATCTACAGTCTCTCTCCCTAAAACCTTCAAACAAGGTCAGAAATCTAGGGGTAATACTGGACTCAGACTTAAATTTTAATAGCCACATCAAATCAGTAACATCAGCAGCTTTTTACCATCTAAAAAACATTGCCAGGATCAAAAACATAGTGTCTAAAGCAGACTTGGAGATTCTTATCCATGCATTTGTCTCCAGTAGGTTAGACTACTGCAATGGCCTGCTCACAGGTCTGTCCAAACAGGCTGTAAAACAGCTGCAGTACATTCAAAATGCAGCAGCTCGAGTCCTGACTAGAACCAGGAA